AACATCAGGCGGCGCCGTCGGAGGCGGCGCCTTACATGGTGCAACACTACAAGGTCAAGACGTGCTCATCTGTTTTTACGATGAGCCCCAGAAGGCGGCTGACCTGGGCTGAGCCGGCTGGGTCGCGTTAACAGAATACCCTCGAACATAGGGTCGCCTGGTCATTGTGTCCCTGGGGGCCGAAAAGGAGACCGTAAGATCCACGCGGCAGCGTCGCGTATGTCCACGGCGGCACCAGCCCGCAAGCAAGTGCGACCCTACTCTGAGCCGACGAAGTTCGGAGGCCTGTGCACCTTGGACCACTGGCTCGCGGATGATGATGTTTCGAGGAGGTTTTACGGGGAAACCTCGCGCGCGGCGCTACGCGATCGGTGCACGGGGTTCTTGGCTAGCCAGAGCACTCGCGACAAGTCGGCGGAGCATGCGGGCGATTTCTTGGTCAATCTTCGGGCGCGCGCAGATACGTGGACGCGGCGCCAGAGTTCGAACGGGCACGCAAGTCACTGACACCCCACGAGCGAGTCCGCGATCGTCCATGACGCGACGCAGCCTGCCAACAGAAAGCAGCTATCTGTAGCGGAGCGGACGGACGGCATCGTCCAGGACGGAGCGAGGACGCCCCTGACGACAACCGGTTTGCCCGCGCTGTGCTGGGCATGCGCGGCGCCGCAACCCTGCCTGCGCCGTAACGCGCAGCCCAGGGGCGCCGACGAGTCACCATGGAAGAGAAGATTTGGCGTGCCTTTCGGTTTCCATCTAGCACCCTTCGGTTCTGCAGTTCGGCATCCGCCGCCTCCTGAACCCGCGTGACAATCCCGAGACGGGCCCGCGGACATGGATCGGGATATAGTTGCTAGGTCTATCGTGCGGGGGGGCGCGCAGGACCAGACCATTGCCGCGCGCCCCTCGAACAGCTGGAGGGTCTTCACTTCAGGACTCGCATGAAGGAGGACGGCGGGAGGGCCCTCGTCGAAATACTGAAACAGGTCTGGACGGGCACCGGCATCGAGGTGGGCGCGCCCGCCAGCCATCGCAGGATTGAGGACAACGAGCCCCTGGGAGCTGAAGTCATCTTCCCGCTGCGAAAGGCATAGGACCTCGCGTCGGTGACTGCGCCGTCCATCAACTTAGGGGATCTGCTGTCCGGTGCCAGCGCCACTGGAGGTGGACCGACCACGCCTCCACACGGCGGTCAGCCGTCCGGGGGGAGGTCCGTTTCGTCGAGCGGAGGCGTCGGACACGAGGCCGATGGCGAAGCGCAACCGCCCCCTGCCCACGACGACGGAGCGGAAGAGGCAGCTGCGGACGAGGTGGGCGAGGGCCCGACAGATGATGAGGGACCCTCTGGACCGACTCCTGCCCCGCCGCCGCCCACGGGGGACAGGAGGTCAGCGCGGAGCCACCTGGGTGCCAAGACAGGAGAATCTGCTCAGCGATAGAGGAACAAATTTCCCGCCCGCCCCCGAACGCCGGGAGTCGAAGCTGGAACACATCATTGCTTGAACGACCCAGAAATTGTCAGCAGGTGAGCAATCTGAACGAGAGGTAGTGACCGCGGGGAAGAGGGGAAGACGCTGGAAGAACTGTCGCAGCCCTTACCCCTGACCAGACGGAACACGGGCACGCAGATACGGGTCGCATTCTACGACGACCCCGGACTCACGACTGAAATTTGGTCTAAGCGAGCCCAGAAAGATTCAGCAAACCTAGGCGCGCACCCGATTCGTTGACGGAAAATGGGCGGCCCTGCGCGACAGAAGGCGATTGCCGAATTCAAGCAGAAGGAATGCGTTTCTTCGAGCTCGCCGATCTGGTGCCTAATACATACCTCCCGCGAGAGATCGATCGGAATCGACACGCCGAGACCGCCAGCGCGGTGCGTCATGTCCGCAGCAGGAGAACCTCCGTTTGCCCGCGTCGCCCGGCGCCTGCAGCGCCATCGGCGGGCATTTCGTCGCCGCGAAGCGCAGTCTACGCCGCGGGAACTGCAAGACAGGATTTTGCTTCGGTCTCTGCGCGCGACTGGCGCATCAAGTCCCTGCTCCGGCCCCGCCGCGGCAATGCGCCAGTGCACGGGCGTCCTTTTGAGGGCCGCTGCGGAAGCGGACGTCCGCTTGAGGGCCGCGGCGGAAGTGGGGCACCCGCGCCCTCCATGGCAGCGCGCGGACACCCGCCCGAGGGCCGCGGAGGCGGTTGAAGACCCGCGCCCCCCATGGCGCTCTGAGTCACGGGATCGCCGGGCGTCGCGGAGCTCGGGGTGGGGCCCCAGCAGTTGGCGGGGCTTGAACAGCAGCCAGGGCCGAGATGATCAGTGGCGCGACGATCGGAGATGACGGAAGCATGGAGACTGAACAGGGGAGTGCTTTGGGACTGCCCAGAACGCTCTCCTGCACGTTTCATGGCTGCGCCTTGTGCGCGATGGCGCGCCGAGGCGTTGCGGCAGGCCGCGAGCCTTATCAGCCGTGCTCTGGGCGGCAGGTGCCGGCGCGCACTTTCTTACTATGTGGGACTCGTCGGCAGTCTTGCGGCATGTCCCACATAGCCTTGTCAGGAGCATCCCCCAACCTATCCCCTGGCGCTGTAAAACTTTATTGTTGAAGGTTTGCGCCAGGGTGGGGCCGATGTGCCCTTTGGGGGGGGGGGCTGACTATGGCTCTCGGGGCGCGCCGCAAAGCTGTTGGCGCGCCCCACCAAATTCGGGGCGTTAGCAACTGCTGACGCCCACCCGCGCGCGGAAGGCCCCCGCGCCAGGAGGCCGCGGGGAGAGTAATTCTTAATGCTCCCCTCGCCATATTCTCCTTCCCTGCCATTTCCCTCCAAATTGAGGTTGGCGGGCCCTGCAGAGAGGAAAGTACCCCCCGCAGTTGCTTAAGTTTCAGGAAAAGTGTGCGGCCCTACCCGCCCCCTTTCCGCTGGCCAGCAGGCTTACGCACATACTACTCTACCGCTTAACGGACACAAAGTCATGGCAACAAATACATCATCGACGCGTCGTGATTTCACAGCATTCCATGAGCAAGATGAACACGAACACGTTGAGCAACAACATCAAGAACCGATTGACTGAATTAAGCCTTTGTCCCAATCCACGATGAATAGGCAAAACAGTCATAGAGACGCACGTAGCTTGCGCCGGGACTCCACCTCCTCGGAGAAGAGGGAGGCTGGGACGGGCCCAGACGACGAATATGAACACGGCTGCAGTGTGGAGATGTGTTCCTACAGCGGCGCATGCGCCCCTCAAAAGAAGGAGTGTGTAAGTCGCCAGCGCCGAGGAGAGAGCAGGATTCCAAAGTAATGTGTAAGGCGGTGTCAGGCGGGAGCGCAATGCCTGAGTACACGCTGAGGCTATATCCAGCGAGGGGGATAACCGGAGGGCGAGGCGGAGAACCACTATGACAAAGAAGGGCGCCGAGGATAACAAGGAGAAATCAGTGCATCAGTGGCACGAGGACAAGAAAGTTGAGAAACAGGACGAACACTTAGGAGGAGGATGAAAACGGGAGGGGAGGAGAAACAGTACGTAGGAGGAGTCGGAGGTGGAGCGGGAGGGGGAAGGGTGAGACTGAGGATGACACGGTGGAGGACAGTGACAACAACAACAACGACGACGACGACGACGACACACGCGACGACGACGACGTCGTCGATGACGACGACAATGAAAACGACGACGTGCAGGCCGATCCGATTTTTTTTGTGCGTGGTGTGTGGATAGGGGCCCCCTCGCCCGGAGCTCCCGCACCCACGGCATCGTGCGCCGCATGCCCTTCGGGCGAGCATGCGAGCCAGGCAATGCCAGGGGGGTCACCACTAGTGGGGTGGGGCACCAGCTCCTCCTGCAATCGAGGTACCAGGATTGAAGCTAGAGTCGATTTGGAAAGCTCTGGCCTCGAGAGAAGGGCGCTTCCGCGAAGAAGTGGCGATCTCCCTAGTGGTGACCCTCCTGGGCATTGCCCCAGCAATCTGCGGGCCCATGCTCTCCGTCGAGGGCTCTGGGCCCGCCAAAGCTCGGGGAATTATTTTCTTTCTCTCGCAGCGCGTCAGCTGCTGCAGCCTAGGGGTGCTCGCCCGCCCTCCCTCCCAATCGCGCCAAGCGCGTGCTCTGGCGTTGCTTGATAAAGTGACCAACAAGCGCGGGGTGGAGAAAGGTGCACTCGTCGCGTACCTTCGGGGGCCCGTTTATGGCCCCTCTCCTGCATCCCTCGATCCTCTTGCCGCCCCGCCTCCCCACCAGCCCTCGCCTCCCCATGACGAGACGCACGAGCTGCAGGCTGGGCTCAGGGCGTGGCGACAGCGACTTGGATGTCGCCGCTTCAAGACCGTCCTGATCCGCTCGCTGTGCGAACCGTCTTTTGTGGCGAAGCGAAACGCGAGCATCGCCACCATAAAAACAGGTGTTTTCTGATCCGCCGCCCGCGGTTCCCAGGCGCCGCCCCGAGGCCGCGCCCCCCTATCGAGGTCTCGTCCTCATCCTCCGCCCACTCCTCGTCCGCCTCCTTCTCCTCCGCTGCGGCACGCCCCCCACCGGTGCGACGTGTTTGCTTGCGCTTCTTTTGCTTTGCCATTGTAGGTTGATGGGGGAGTACGTAGGAGGAGTCGGAGTTGGCGTGGGAGGGGGAGGGGCGAGAAAGAGGAGGACGCGGCGGAGGATGATGACAACAACAGCAACTACGGTCGAGCATATGATTAACAGCACCTCCTTCCGAATGGCTGGGCCAGCGTACTCTAACCAACTTGCCGAGAAACTGGCCCAGTTTCCTGAGCGCGTTCGCCCCTCAAGCGTTTACAACAAGAGAATTTGGCCAAGGTTTGTTTTAAGAAAAGTCTGGGAAGTTGCCCCAGATTTCTGAAATGCTAACTGTCTTGACCGTCTTTTCCGCGGTACGACGCATGCGACGACGACTACGACAATGATAAAGACGAGGGTGCAGGCCGATCAGGAGCAGGAGGACGACGATGGTTCGGAGTACGCGCGAGCAGTAGTTATTTACTTGGAGCCACCCTGGCTCTACGTCCCATTTTGGGCCACTTCGGTCTCACCCCCCAGACTCCGACAGGCGCGCTGGTGCGTCACGATTGGGCGCGTTAGGGGCTCTCTGCTGCCGCGACCTTCATAGACGTGCATAGCTTGCGCTGGGACTCCACCTCTCGAGCAGGTCATTTCGTATATCTCATTCGGGCACTCCCCACGTAGTGCTTGCATCAATGGTTCTTATCGTGGTTTTATCCCGAGCAGTGCCTACACTAAGGGTGCTCTTATTTTTGTCAACAGTCGGCCCGGTTTTCCAGGTCTTCGCCCGGCAGGCGCCCGTGGCCGATTCGCGGTGGCCTCTCGCCGTGGCTCGCCTCTTGGGATGCACGAAGTGCACCACACGGATTGCACCAGAGAGTCAGTGCGCGCCGACCCCAGGGAGGTTGCATGCTAAAGCATACGCGGCAGAGATTCATCTTCTCGGTCTCGCTCCAAACGAAGCATTCAGACCGTACCACCACCCCATGGGCTTGTGGATACCTACAAACATTCCCTGGGGCATGGCAGATTACATATGGTTCTGCCCCATTGTTCATGTTGCATTTGAAATCATACCAGCTCAGGCAGACATGCATCGCCCCTCTTGCATTTTTGTCGGATCGTACCAGGCGCGCGCATTCGTTACAAAATATGTTTGCAAGAACCCTTTGCAACAAATTCAAGAAAGCCCACGCGAGCGCACATGTCGAAATCACACCAAGCGCATCATGTACTTTGCAGCAGATCGTAAAATTTAGGAAAACAGCGGTTGCCTCATAAACTAGATTGCAGGTTCTCTGCCCGCGTCCATCTGCCGAAATCGTGCAGGAACGATATGCTTTTTGTGTTGGTATCTTTTCCAGAGGCCGCACTCTCATGTCACGTTGCGGTGCATCTGCGCTGGTCTACCACGTGCCCCGTGCACGAATCCGTATCAAGCAGTACAAGACGGGCCACACGCGCGAGCCGCCGCGCGCGTGTCGAAGTCTATTGAAAACCATTGGCCTCCGACGGTGTTCAAGATATCGGCTTTCAAACACATGTGGAAAAGCCAAGTTCTTTCAGAGAAAACTTGGTCACACATCTGGAATGCTTGCGCGCTCGCGATCTTTCTCACCGTCACATCACCAGCGCCACCGCATCACCATTGCCGCCGGAACAAACACAAGCATTTTCATAACCGACACATGGAGATCATCATCGTCATCGTCGTCACCAGCATCTCCGCCGTCATTGGCCCTGCCGTCGTCATCATCATCATCATCAGCAGCAGCAGCATCATCATCGCCACCACCATCGCTACTATCATCATTTTCGCTGCCTTAGCCGACATCATCATGATACAGCGCCCGACCGAGTCACCGACCCGAACTCCCGAATGAGATGCGCTTGGAGGCGCCTTTCGGTAAGCGTCATTGCGGCCGCATCAGTTGTGCCAAGCCAGTTGGTCCCAGAAATGTTATGGCAAATGTGCACTGGCAAACGCAATCGTGGCCGCATGGCCTTTGCCAGACAAGTTGCGTGTGGGAGGGTCCGATGATTGCGCGAGCAATGCAATGGAGTTGACAATTCATATGTTGACAACCGTTTGATTGTAACAACCCCACACCCGGTGTTATCGATACCTCGGACATTGCTAATTTCATACGGGTCTGCCCTAGTGTTCGTTTTGCATATGAAGTCATACCATCCTACTCAGGACGGCATCACCCCCGAATGTACGTAAATGATCACCATGTGCGCACACGCGTTGCTGAAATTACATATGTTCAATAACACATCGCAACAAATGCCACAGCGTCAACACGCGCGCGCAAGACGAAGTTCTAGACGCTTCGCGTATCCCCACCAGCCCGTCCAGAAACGACGCCCAGGCGAGTAGAGGGTCGTCCTGAGGGGCTTTTCGGCGTCTTGGGTGCCTCGGGGGGGCCTCTGTGGGCCGTTCGGGATCCTCTTTGGGGCCTCCTGGGGGCCTCTTGGGGCCTCTTGGGGCCATCTTGGGGCCTTTGGGGGGCCTCCTGGGCGCTTCTTGGGGCCTCCTGGGCGCTTCTTGGGTGCCTCTGGGGGGTCTCTTGGGGCCTCTTGGGAGTCTCTTGGGGGCCTCCTGGAGGCCTCTTGGGGGGCCTCGGAGCCATCTTGGAGGAGATCGATCAACGAAGGGGGGTTCCCTAATTACAGTCCCCCCCTCAGGAGCCACGATCCTCGTGAGGGGTGTCGAATGTTAGCCCTCCCAGGAGTCGATCTTGGGCGCTCCAGCGCGCCGCGGAACCCCCTGTCCAGGTCAGTGGGGAGGTGGTAGGGGGAGGGGTAAACCCCTCCCCGAAGGGGAAGAAGGAGGGGTGGAAGAGGAAACGCTCTAAACCACCGACGCCCAGAGGGCTGGTGGGATTACACCAAACATATTACGTATGCAAGCGGCTAAGCAGCAACAAGTTGTAGACGCTGTATGCGTTCAAAGATTCCCATAGTTTTCGACCCGATGATTGCAGAACCATGTGATTGCAACAATTTCGTGCAGGACCCTTGTTCTCATCACGCCACGCGGTGCACCTGCTTCGACCGAACATACGCCCAGCGCCCGAGTCCGAATCGAATAACACCAAACGGGCCACACGCATAGCATGGCCGCAGAGACGCGCTAGCAAGGTCCAGTTGGGAACCACAATCGTGGCCGCGTGGGCTTTGCCAGACGCGTCGCGGCTGAAAGGGTGCGATGGTTGCGCGAACGTTGGGGCTGACGACCCCGAGTTCTTCATGAGCGAACCCTCATTTGAAAAGGAAGAGACTTCCCCCACCCCGCTTAGCTTCCTCCCAAGGACATGTTGCAAATGACTTACGATTGCGCTTCACGGTCAATTTTCCATCAGAGTTCGTACAATCTTTGGAAGGCCGGGTATCGACCTTCGCTTCGTCACTTTCGGATAGTATTATGCGCGCGCATTTGTTTCTAGCCTAAGGTTATGATTTGAGAACCTTCTACGAACAATGGCACGATCTCGGCACGCGCGCACATGCCGAGGTGAAAACAAGCACGTCCGTCCCGCAAGCGGTTCATCATACAAATATCAAGAACCTTTTCTGGGCGTTCGCTCAATGACACATTTTGCACATGTTCTGCCCGCGCGCATGTTTTGAAATCCCACGGAAACCATATGATTTTAGCAATCTCGTGCAGATTCCGAATTCTCATCTCACCACGCGTTGATTGTGTTTTGGTCTAGCATGCGCCCAGCGCACGGATCCGCATCAAATTACACCACGCGGGCTACAGGCGCGCGCCGCCACGCGCGCGTGTCGAATTCTGTCCAATGTCAATGGTTGCCCAAATAGAGCTACCGTTCAAAAATATATCAAACAACTATGCGAATTCCAACAGAAAGTTGGCCAGGTTGCTTGAGTTCCTGCGCACCGCGCGAACTTCTTGCGCAACCGCATCACCACCTCATCGTCATCCTCAACCGCCGTCATCGCCGCTATCATCTGTTAACCACCTTCATCACCGACACATTGACATCATCACAGTCACCATGGTCACCAGTATGTGCGCCGTCATTGGAAGTGTCGCCGCCATCGCTATCATCGCCACCACCATCGCTACTATCATCATCGTCGCCGCCGTTTTCGACGTCATGATGGCACCGCGCCCCCCCGATTCACCGACCTGCACTGAAGTATTCGCGCTCCAGCGCGTCCATTGAGACGCGCTGGGGAGCTCCAACCGGTAAGCGCAATCGTGGCCGCTTCGGCTGTACCACACCAGTTGTCCGTTCTGCGCGCGACATTGCGCGCGTTAGCACGGCCGCAGAGATGCGCCAACCAGCGCCGAAGAGTCGCAACCGCATGGGTTGTGCAAAACAAGTTCTTGGCGGAGGGTGGAATGCTTGCGCAAGCAACGGAGCTGATGTCTGGAAGCTATGCGAGGTGAAATCCTTTTTGCTAGACAGAGAATATACTCGACCCCCCTTCTCCCAAATTATCGGTCGCCGAAGGCAGAATCACAACCATTATCATCAATCCTTCGTGCACGGCAAGCGAAACTCTACCGGAAAATCGCATATCAGACCGACGGGTCGCTCGTGAGGCGCATTCTGTGCAACCGGGACGGCACGCCCAAAAATTGGACAGTCCGCAGACGGAGGGATCGCCCCAGGCAGCAATGGGCAACCTCCGTATACAGCGAGGCGTTATTGTTCCACTACGTGTGATTTTAGCGTTTTGTTTTCCCCTACGCCTACGCGTCCGCTAGGGATGCAAGGCCGCAGACAGACCAGGTGGTTCCGCCTCAGCATTCAAGCTCCATGTGGGCTCACGTCATGTCAGACAGGCGCCTGGTCGCCCTGCCCCCACCCACGTCAAAACATATGATGCGCATACATCCGCGCATCACCGAACAATATTGTTATGTCCAACAAGAATCCGCTGCCGAACAATCATGTTCTAACAAATTCCATACGCGTGCGTCGTCGCGCGCGCATGCTTGATTCCGCAAAAGAAAAAAGCGTTTCCGTAAGGATCTCAAGATCGAGATTGTTCGAGCACCGGTGAAAGACATTTGGTGTTGCAGCACGCTCTTGGAAATTCGATTTGGTTTTTTCCGTATTTTGTCGAACGGGACAACCCGGGCTTCCCTCGTGCGCATGCCAGAATCATGGGAGCGCCTTTACGCGCCTGCTGGAGGGGCACGATCCCTTTCAGACAATACCGTGTGGACCACTCGCTCTTTCGGCCGCGCGCGCATGTCGAAACCCTGCCAACACATTCATGCGCGACACATGGACATCGTCATCGCCATTATCGCAACAACCATCGCTACTATCATCATTGTTGACGCCTCTTTCGTTGTCATCGTGATTCCGCGCCCGCCCGAGCCACCGACGAGCAATGAATCGCCCGCGCGCCAGCGCGGCCTATCACGCGCGCCGGGACGCTGTCATCGGTAAGCGCCATCGTGGCCGCTTCGGCTGTGCCACACCAGCTAGCCGTTCTGCGCGCGAGCTTGCGCGCTAGCGAGGCCGCAGCGTTGTGCCAGGCGTGGCCAAGCAGTTGTCGCAATCGCCGCCGCATGGGTTTCGTAAACCAAGCTGCGGGCAGGATTGTTGGAGGATTGCGCGAGCAATGAAGTTGACAATTTACGAGTTGGCAGAAATTGATGGCACCGCATAGATTGC